CCTAAAGTGGTCAGATGCTCAATACGAAAACTTCAGTGATCTGTATGACCTAAACTTCGGGTCCCACGCACGAAGTTTTTTCTCCGTGAAGCTGAGCCGAATTCATAGCCAAAATGAAAAAAAAAAAAATCTAACTCGCTTTCTTTTACTCTAAGATTTTAACTTTCAGTACTTTCAAAGTAACTCTAGAACCAGGGAATCAAAAGAGATCGGAGACCAAACCCCTTTTTGATATAATCTGGGCTTTCAATGACATCACGCCCTGAGTAATGATATTAGAAAGGGACACGTGCACGTGTGTTAGTTTTATTTTCTTTTTAAAGTGACTTCCAATCATCAGGTACGGAGAGCACAATAGCTCCCCAATCACGAGCGATATCAATAAAATAACCTTTCGGGTTCAAGTGCATTGTGCATCCTCCGAGATCACAAGTGCATCGTCGAGCGACCCCAATCGATGGATCGAAATCCCTCCGATAGATAATCGAGCGACGGACGAAACGTATCGATTGTTCGATGGATCGAAGCGAGACCGCGATGACACACGAGCCTCTAAATGCCGCGTTTGGCGGGTTTTAACCCCTTCTCGCGAGGGTCCAGGAGGGTCGTCCGCCACTTTTGTATCGAATTATGCCCCCTTCTTAATTGAATCGCGTGTGCTGGCTTGGCTTGGGCCGGGGCGAAAAAATATTGGGTTACAACTCACCGCGGCCGATCGTGTGTGCGGCGCGTTTTGAGATGATAAATATTAATTTTAATATCAGTTTTTGACGGATCGTTGTTTCGCCGTATGGGGAGGAATCTGGAGTTGCGGGCTGAAGGGACTTAAGTAAAATTCTTATCAGCATTTTCAATATGTCTGGAAGGTGTCTCGGCCCTTCGAGCGAAAACATTTATGTAAACAGTTTTAAGGCCAGGCGAAAACTGAAAAAAAAAATTCTTGAGATATTATTTTGACTCAAAGCGTCGTTTCTTGTCGACAAAATTCGATTTTTGTAAGTTAAACCCGTGCGGATTGAGTTACAGAAACGATGTTTTGTTATCTTTGTTTCAACTTAAAAATAACGTTACCAAACAAGGTTTCTTTCACTAAAAAAAAAAAAAAATTTTTGTCGACAAGAAACGATGCTTGCGAGGTCAAAATAATATCTTAAGTAAAATGGTTTTCAATGAAGGATGCAAAATTCAAGATTTAAGAACTTTATCGGAAGCAAAATGGAAGTTGAGTTTTGAAAAAGGGACGAGAAATTCACAAAAGAAGAGCATTTTAAGATTCGAGAATTGGGAATTTTTAAATCATACTCTATGATGTAAAATGGCTAGAGTATCGCGAAACGCTTGCGGCGCGAAGCGCTTCAGGAGGTTGGACTGTGAAGCAGTCAGTTTAAAAAAGTCGACAAAGCTTTGTTGAAAATTTTGAGCTTTATGCACATTATGACCTGAGGTCCCATTTTCAGTGATTAAGGGCAATTTTGAGCGGAAGTTATGGTCCCGACCCAGCATAAGTGGTTCAACACGATATGCATTACCTTTCAGAATTTAAAATATCCCCATCATGAGTCAACATTTTCCTTCTTTGCATTCAATTTTCCAGGTGACTTTTACTCTCTGAACGGGGTAACCCGGTGCTCGATTTACAAATATGGTTAGTAAGTTTGCATCTCCTCTTGAATTTTCTGTTCAATCGCAAATGATCGCCTTTTTTTCCTCTTGAACGAAATCAAAAGTGGCTCAAGGAAGTAAAAAGCAGTGACATCCGACGAAAAATGAAGGTTTTCGGACAAAAAACGGCTGAAAAAATTTCAGGCGACCAGAGGCAAGACAGCGGCCGATGCGGAGTTATCAAATTTGATAGAAATTAAGAAGGAAACGCTGCCAACGCCGGAACAGTTCGTAAGTCTGTCGAACGAAGTTAGGCGAGAAAGTGCTAAATCCGATTCTGTATGAGCCCTCGATACCGTAAACTTGCACTATTACCGAGGTTCACGTCAGATATGTAGATACCACTCTTTTCCAGGATGTAATTCATCGGCAACCTTGGATTCCTAAAACTCGTCGTTTATTGACAGTGAATTATTGACACAAGTAGTTCGATCAACGATGGACAAAACCGAAGGTTCATCTGCAAGATTGCCAAACTCTCGAAAAAGTATTGATTAAAATGAAATCAAACTTGATCGCTAAAACTGAAAATTACTGAATGCACAAGATTACTTGAAAAATTAATTACATTGAATTGGTACAGTTTTTTTTTAGTTGAAATCGGTATTTTCATTGTTTGGAAATCTGAAATTATTAGATTGTCCAGTCTCGTCAAAGTGGACTCACACCAAGAAAAAGCCCGTGCACGTGTCTTATAAGATGGTGTGTTCATTTTTGAAGTTGAGATCCAGCTATCAAAAATGTTCTCCGAAAGATTTTTTCAAAAGAATCTTGTGTATCTTTTACCATATGCTTGATCGATCGATTTTTGAAAAATGCACTTCTTGGGGACACAAAAAACACCATCCGTTTCATAATCTTCGAGCAAATAACCATTCAGGCATTATACGATGCAAAGGAGGAAAGTGACCGAGTTCTTGAGCAGTTTTTTAAAATATGCAAAGTTTAGTTTTAGTATGAAAGTCATATTTTTTATTTACTCATTTTTTCCTCTTTAAAGTCTGAAGCCAAAAAAAAAAAAAAAAAAAAGTTTATACGACGATTGTTTGATCGAAAAGAATGTTTTCTCAATAGTTTCATTGTTACAATTGAATGGAAACAGTTTTTCACACTAGATCATCAGTTTTCCCAACTGATAATTACCTAGCAAGTTACTTGTTGAAATTCCTACACATCAATAGCGATATTCTAGATAGCCAACGGTATTTGGCTCATTTTGCTTGGTAATTTTTTCCCCTCTCTCAGTTTGAAAGGACTTTCCTCCTTCCATCAGCTGGCTTTCGTTTTTTGTCATTTATTAGAGTCAATTTAGTAAAAAATGCATTTAAAAAAATTTAAAATAACAAATAAAAACAAAACAAAAAAATCAAAGAGCTCAAATCAGTCCGTGTAAAAACACACGAAACCGTTAAAAATTCCTCAAACTTCATTCACGAAAATACGAAAATCATGTTACGTTACATTATATCATATACGGCAAGTTACGTCAAATTATACTAACGTAACGATAAGAACTTTAACCTTGCCGCATATTTTTCTATAAGCTGTTACTAAAAAAGTAACATTGCGACTACGTTACAACGTTTGGTCCTTGTTACAATGTGGTATTGTTATCGGAGCCACAGCATTTCAAATTGCACCGAACTATTTGTTACATAAATATTTTATCCTTTCCATCCACTTAGCGGCGCCAAATGGATGGAAAGTTGAATGTGACGCGTCACATTCAAGTTTTCGTCGAATTTGTTATCAAATTGTCGTTTTCTCGCGTCAGTATCACGCTATCCAACTTTTCATTATGGCCTGGTTACACGATCAAATTCCCGTCAAATTCCGATCAAATGGTGACTGGTGCGCATCATCTACCATCAAATTTCTGCGGCCTGCAAAAATTTGATGTGGATGATGGAACTGTGGGGCTCATCCTTCATCTGATTTCCACACAACCGTGCTTATTTCATGCATATTTCAATCAACACGCTGTTTTAATTAATTTTACTCATCGCTCTAGATAACTCTCGACAGTCATCTTTGTCATCATTTTGATCAGAATTTGACGGGAATTTGATCGTGTAACCAGGCCATTACGACAAGACTGAACGGACGTTGACATTACGACGGAGTTGAATTCAAGAGTTTAATGTCAAGTTTTATAGTACGAATGGGCTTCATTTATCAATATCGATCCTAAAATTCCGCTGCATGGTATCTTCTTCCACCATGCCGAAGAAGTGATTTTTGTGGTTCGGTTCGGCAACCCCCGCGACGACATCGGAATATGGGAAAACGAGTTTGGAATCCGAATCTGAATCAGCACGAAACTTCCCGAAAGCGAGGGAAACAGGGGAAAGAGCGAAGTGGAGTGAAGTGAGCCAAACCAGTATTTTGGGTGTGAACAGGGAATCTAGTTTATCGTTGTCGCCGCCATCGGTTCCCACCTGGTTTCGGTTTTCGTAACGAGCCGACGACGAGCGACTGCCCGAAAGTTGTCATCGGCGAACGGCCATCATCCGCGGTTGCTGGCTTGCGATTAATCGATCGATCAGTCATTTAAACCTATGGAGAAGAATCGATATTCAGGATAACCCTTGATAATCGATTCTTCACCATAGCTTCAAGTGGGAATACATCGATAGTCGATCATTCACGCTTCGTCACTTGCGGTATCGGTCGTTGCTTTGCTTTGTCCGCAATCGAAGCATTCTCTAATTATGCTCGAATCCTCTTGTTAGCCGGCGCTGATCCTCTTTCCATGCGAGGTTGCCATTCGGACAACTTTAATTCATAAAAGAAATATCATGAAAAGGGGAAATTCAAAACCTGGTGAGCACCGGCCATCAGGTGTTGCTCTGATTGAGCATGAAGTTCTCCTCCCTGAAGGACCCAAATTTCTCCGCTTCGTTTAATTTGTATTTTCTCGGCATTTTTTCATTACTGTAATGACAAAAATTACCATTCTCAGGTCACTGGCTACCCATTCCAAACGAAAAGAAGTCCCTCACCAAAAGTTCCAGACATCACCCCCATAACTTTTGAACAAATTGAGATGGAGACTGAAAAGTTTGCGAGTGCTCCTAGGTCGCAGAAAACAACTTCTGGGAACCTTCAAAATTTTGAGGGAGACACCCAGCCACCAAAGTCCTTCATCCTCCCAAAGCCCTTCAGAGAGTTGGCACTTCCACATTTCCTCTAAAACCCCTGTCACCATCCTTTCATTGGGCGTCCTCTTCGTCTCCTCCCAGGAGGAACCCAATCAAGCATCTTCTTCGGTAGCCTCTCCTTCATAGAGAGAAGGATACGTGAGATATTGTGAAAAAATAAATGGTGATAGGACTTACCGAAGGGCACATTTTACACTGGTAGCGCCTATTGGAGCCGTTCTGGGTGACTATGTGGTGAGGGTCGGCGATGCGAGTTGGCTGCGGGACGACGAGCATGGTCGAGGGCACGGCGCCCGTGGGTGGCGAGCAGGAATTGCTCGCGGAACTATGAGATCGGGGCACGGAACTGTTATATACAGAGGGGGTCGTTCCACCGCCACCCCCGACACCGTCCATTCGACCATCTTCCAAACCGTTTCCTGAAACAAAATCAAAAATATTTACCAAAAAACATACGTATTTAGCCCATAGGCGGATACAGGCACTTCCAACGTAAGAGGCGTGAGTGGGGTCCCAAGAGCTTTTTCCCGGACGTCTCACTCATAGAACCAGCGGGCTGATTATTGAAATTGATAGACAAAGCGATAGACAAAGAAGACATAAAGAGTGCGGAGCTATCCCATAGGTGGAAACGGGTGGCCCTTATATAGACTAAGGGAGAAAATGATGGACTAATTATCGGGTCTCTCGTGGGTTGCCGTTAGTCAGTCTATTACCCACGTCCTTTGTCCATTGCAATCACCAGCTTCCACCAATTGGATCCCTCCAAATCCCTTTTGTCTTCTTTGTCTATAGCTTTGTCTATCAATTTCAATACTCGACCCGCTGCTGCAATAAAACGAGTAAAAATAAAAAGTCGAAAAAAGTAGAGTAGGAAAGAAAAATTTAGGACAAATAACCTCGAGTCTTTTTAATCTTCCTTGGAGACAATCGTGTGGAAAGGCCTTTAAGTTCTCATATATGGAACTTTCTGCAATTCGATAAATCGTTGCTAATCTAAAGTAAGGGTGTATCTCTATTTCCATATGAGCCGCAGAAAGCATAGAGTTATACGGAGAACAGAGTTCACGTGGAAATAATTGAGACACGCCCTTGCATCAGAGGGACAACGAAATGTGGTTGATTTTCGAGGGGGAAAGAGAATGCAAAGTTGCATATTGTGTCCGTTTTTTGGAAAGCAAATCGGAACGTGGTCCGGTCAAATCAAAATTCTCAAACTGGTTTTTGGAGCTGAAGATGAACCGTAACGAAAAAAGGAAGAGCTAATAAAAATAATCATACTCGTTATTTGTAATTTATTTGGACGCCGGGTACAAGAATTTTGTCTCTTCCTCTTTCTCTGGAAAGACTTGCAATCGGAAAGATTATCAGAAGAGAGTGAGAGAGTTTAATTGGTCAATCTTCAACAGAACAGAATCGAAGCCAAGAGAAATTTTAAATAAAAAAAAAAGTTTGAAGTTTCCGTTGACCACAAGACTCAGTGCCAAAAATTCTCAATATTTCACGCGTTCAATTTTTTTCTTCCCCTCCATTTTAAAATTTTTGTTGTTGTTGCTGTTCTTCTTCTTCTTCTTCTTCTTCTTCTTCTTCTTCTTCTTCTTCTGCAATCCACTAGGACATAGCCTGTTTGTCAGGTCATCTAGTTCCAATCACATCAAATCATACGTATTTTAAAAACCAAAAAATCATAGTTTTTATAAAGGACTCGTCAAACCAATATAACTGTTAGCACCGGGGTTCGGACTTTTGGAACACCCTGTATATAAAATCTAAAAACGCGGCTGTATTTCGGTTATTCGTTTTGTTCCGGTAGTTTTATTTATAAATTGTATAAACAAGGGATAAGAATACTGTTAGTCGTCTTTTTCAAAGTCCGTTGTTTCTTCAAACACCTGAGCCTGCGGCAAGTAAGAGCCTTTGTAGACGGTAAGTTCAAAACTACCTTGAGATCTAATTATAAGATTTGTATAAAACAGTTCCGTATGAAAGAAATGCACACAACCTTGAGAATATCCCAACAATGCTTGCACAGATGCAAAAAGTCTCTAGAGATTGAAGTCTCTTGAGAAAGAGCAAACGATTCATTTCAATCGGGCACTATCAATTGCTTGCATAAACAGGCAACGGTTCCAGATTGGTTTTATCTCAGGCGATACTAAATGAAAATATATATAATTACCAGATTTGACCGGGNGGGGGGGGGGGGACGGTGTTAAGAGCTTAACACTTTAACGTGATCACTTAGGGATATGAACATTTGGCTTAGGCATTTTAGACCAGAAAACTAAATCCCCTACGAAATGAATAAAAAAAGTATCGGAGACTTAAACGCCAGGGCACGAAAAACAACGAATTTTTTCAAGGCAGAATGTAACGTAGTGTTCATGTAAAATAATAAACCAAGAGATCAAATTGGGCAACGTCTGACGTAGTTAGGCCAAACCTGGTAAATACCGTCCAGATTTAGTCTCTCATAGTATACAGGGTGTCTGAAAGTTAGTGCGCTGTAATTTGGGAATTATTTTTTTAGGTCAAAATTAAAGTTTTTTGTTATGTTTTGTTTTATTTCATGCGGTAATTTCTTTTTTTTCCGGCGTTAAAGCTACAATTTTGTGTATTTTTTCCCAAAAAAATGTGTTTTTACCGCTTCGTCATTACGTCAAATGTTTGTAAAAATTGGATATTAGAATAATTTTACCGTTATTTTAATTTATTGTGATTTCGAAGGTCTACTTTTTTATGAAACGGAGATGCGCAAGATCTGTATAATAAACATGGGCGTACCTTTTTCACTGCAGGGATCTTGCATACCACCCTATCATGGAAAAACCACATACACTAAAAAAAACCGCTAAAAATGATAACTAAAATGTAATTTTTATTGATATTTGATACGAATTTCGAGGGGAAACGAACACAATTTTGATGAATCTCGGAGCAAAAAAACTTTTCCAGAAAACTTTTCATACCACAAAAGTCTTACTTTGACCCTAAAAATGTATTTTCAAAGAATGGCTCATTAAATTCCAGACACCCTGTACAGAGTCTAGACACGTACAACCAATTTTTTAAGATCGTTAACAAAAAATCTCCGCGCGGTTATGATTATGAATGAGAAAAGCTTAAGGATTGCTAATGTTCCGCGGTCAGGAAGCACCAAGACTCATGTCGGTGAAAAATGAAGAACGGTTCAATAAAACTCTTATCATACTGCTACCATAGACATCAGCAAAACTCGTATACATTTTCAGTGTAAATGCTGAGAAATACTTCGTGTTCAAGCAGCCTTAACGCCCATCAAGGACTCATGCCTCGCAGAGCTCACCATTTGAGTCATTAATTTTTGCAAAAATTTGATGAATTGTAGATTGTTGCAAGCCGCATTAATTTTAGCTGGAATAAATTTTCTCCCGGGACAAGTCGGACTATTTTTTCATGAGTCGACTTCAATAGCGTAGCGTGCTTCACGATATATCGATTGATCTGTCATTTAAACGTTTGGAGAAAGATCGATAAACTGGGTGTCCGCAACGGACACCTTAACAATCGATTCTGTACCATAGCTTCAAATGGGAAAATATCGAAAGTCGACCATTCACGCCTCGCCACCGGTCGACTTCTTATTCGGATCGTGAGTTTTGTGATACCATAAGGTTGGGCACTCGGTCACACGAGTTCAAATGAAATCTGATAGTACGAACATTTTATTCTATCGGATTTCATCATTATGAACGACCAGACATCAATGCACAGAAAACCGTCAGGAAATTAAGAATCAACGGCTACGGAAGTTAATTTTATCTTGCATGCCTCTACCGCCAACAAAGATTTGAAGAACTGCAGATATTGTGGGAAAAGGGAAACATACGTCCTCTTTTCGTTCTTTTTGGCTTTCCCTCTTATTTTCTCCTTCATTCTCATTTTCTCATGAGCGGAATTAAGATAGGCCTTCTTCATAAAATGTATGGAATTTTGCGAAACAAGTGGGCGGCATTTCTATCGTCTTTTAAATTGAAGTTAAATTAATTAATTAGTAGTGAAAACACATCAAAATTACTCCCGGAACCCGCCAGTTTTCAAATTACTACCGAAAACACCTCCTGAACTCACTTTTGGGGAAGAGGAATCCCCGTGTTGACATCAACCTATTCAGATGAGCAATTCTTGAAAATCAGCATCACTGATTTTCTTGCTTTAAACTAATTGTAAACGTCAATCCTATGTGAGGCGAAATCGATTGTTTTATATACATTCAAATGACAGAAAAACAGTGTTCCTTACGATTAAGAATCGCCAGCAATACGATTCGAATAGTTTTTCACCGCACTCATCATCAAATAAGCTCCAAAGAATACTACAGTAACCGGACCGAGAACTTGTTGGTGGTTAAAAAAAAAAAAAAAAAAATAGTCGCGCGAAAACGATGCCCGATAAGACCCTGGTCCGAGCCACCATGCGCCTTCCCGACTCCAAGATCTCGTTCATTAAAAAAAAACCTCGGGTTTCGACTTGGAATTACATCATCGATCCGAGTTCAAAAAGCTAAAAATCGAATTTTATTAGTCATTAGGCTCCTGATTGAGAAACGAGCCGGGTCGAAGCAGGGGGGGAGGGGGCGGAGGGAGGGAGGGGAGATCCGTACTGGACAGAGGCCCGAAAACTAGAGCTTGCACGTGGAGGACCTCTCGAAATTCGACGGATCGGATCGGACCGACGATATATCAAGTTGCTGCCTCGGGACTGTCAACCGCGTATCTGATTACCATAAGAATAGGCCGTTTCACTCCTTCGAAAAAATCATTTTCTCGTGTTTTTTCGTCAAAAAGCCTCACGTTGGCGCGCAGCATCGCACTAATTAACGATTAGGAACCGAGATCGAAGGCAAACCTCATCTTTCGAATCTCGGTCAGCTGTTAATTCCCCCCCCCCCCCCCCCCCCCCCCCCCCCCCCCCCCCCCCCCCCCCNCCCCCCCCTCCAGCCCCCCTTTTCTCGGACCTCTAGATGGTCCCCCGCGTTAATCCGCCGAGTTTCCACAAACCTGGAATCACATATTTGACATTGTTTTCAGGAATTGTACGGCTCCGCAAGGCCGCGCCGCGCCGCGCCGCACAGTGGATCGAGTCAATAGGAGAGGTCGGACAAAATTCGGAGACTTTAAATGCTTTTAACTCCGTTAATACAAAACTTTGCGGTTTTAAAAGTGGCTAGCTTGGTTTCCTTTGTAAAATTTTCTTCTACAGGCCCCTTTACAATTTAAAATGTGACGAAATAATCATCAAAAATTACTGTAGTGGTCAAAAATGTCATGACCGACCCCTCTGATGATTGACTCGATACTGTCCGCAAAGTCGGCCGTTCTTCGACTGTCTTTACCGCTGCCGCTGCCGTACAGTGAAACAAGGCAAAGAAAGAGGTGGA